TGCCGTTACAGTTGCCGTTCTTGTGGCATTCGTCTGTCTGTACTTTGATGTACACAACCCATGAGTAAAAGATGGATAGTTTTAACGCGAATATGGAGGCAATTACGGGGATTAATGCAAACATACTGTCAGCACTTAGTTCCATCGCGACAATTGTTTCTTGCCATCAAGTGGCGTCATGTGAAAACAAAAATATTTCCCCTGAATTTAAGTAAATTTTTCTTCTTCCCTAAAAGCGGTTCAAATTCCTTTTCTCTAGATGAATTTTTCTAAAGTTGGAAAGTATGACCTGCTGAACTCCTGACCTGCCCGATGTCCTCTCTCAAGCGACCACGTACAGTTCAAACCTTCTACCGGTAGGGACGTAATCTACGAACGGCGTGGCGCTAGTCAGCCCCTGTTCAGCTTCAGCGTTCATGGTCATATTTCGACCAACAAAGCACCATGTTGTGTAATTATTATGCATAAATGCAGAATAATTTGGAAATATACATACTAGAAGTGATTCAGAAATTATTTTCAATTGAATGGACGTGGCTGCCCACGTTTACTTGAGCAGCCGTCAAAGTTTGCAGAAGTAGTATTCTTGGGACCATAGCCACATATATCACGGCAGTTCGTCACATAATGCAGGCGTCCTCACTCCAGTGCTGTCCTAATAGCCGTAAAGTAGCATACGGGGTTAGGTATATAGCGCCATCAATGATGAGGGACGAGAGCGTAAATACGAGTTCCAGTAGGAACTCCGCCATCTGAGCAGGTCAGGAGTGCAGTAGGTCGTGCACGGTTAAGAGGGGCAAGCCAAGCACAGTCCACCTGGCCACGCACGCTACTGGGCGCGCGGCCTGGCGCAGCGATAATGCGTGTACGATTTCCCAAAAAGGACGTCCTAAATGTGCGTATTTTTTCCTCATAAGCAGGTTGATAAAGAGGTATAACTTCGAATGAGTAGCGCATATGTCTACGTGTCTAATGCGCTACCCATTTGAAGTTATTCATATAGCTTCTTTTCTTGTTTGTCACACTGCACTCTGAGAAGAGATCGAGTAGTTGGGGAGTATTTCATAGTAATCAAAAATTATTGGGCGGTAAGTTGGGCCAGTTGTATCCACCGTGAACCTACTTACGGCGCAACACCAGAACGACAGCAGGTGTTGCGCTGTAAATAAGTTCACCATGATCAACTGGCCCAACTTACCGTCTTACTGCAATATATTTCTAGTAGCCATGTCTGTCCTTCTGGTGTTGCGCTGTAAATAAGTTCACTATGGATTAAAAATTATTGGAGTTTAACGTGTGAAAACCACCATATGATTAGAGACGTACGCCATTGTGGAGGGATCCGGAAATGTCGGCCACCTGAGACTCTTTAACGTGCACCTAAATCTAAGGTTACGGGCCTGAAGCGTTTTCGCCTCGAAAATGCAGCGGCCGGGATCGAAGGCACTCGGCTGCGACTTGCGGGTCGGCAGTCGATCGCCTTAGTAACTAGACCACCATGCCGGTATAGCATTTAATTCCCATACACCATGTGAGCTTTTCTTGCTTTAATTATCACCGCGATACCGACACCTTGCGGCAGGCCCGAAACCACGTGCAGGAAAGGTTTTTTTTTTTTTTCAGTGTGGTGGAGAGGTGGGGATTTGAAGTAGGGCTTTGAAAAAGCCCCATTTTCTTCACTTATTCTCGGTAAAACACACACACATTTACTCTCAGTACACACCCCCATCCATCCGAATTTCGAGGGCGGAGAACGGGGAGGAGGGCCCTGCATTCCGCTCGCGTAATATGGTGCCCGCCCTATCGCGCAGTGTTAGCATTTTTGGTAGGAAAGTTGCGGGAGCCAAGTTTGCGAGGAAGCAAACGCAAGCAATCCAGATCACGATTACAGTTAAGTGGCATAAATACACTCCAAATAATCGATTTTAACGCGACGGCGTTAAAAAGCTCATTTGGCAGAAATTCCGGCGTCGGCGTTCTTGGTTGTGAGCGAAAAATCATCAACTTTGCGAAGTGGAAAAGTGGAGAAAGATGCAAAAACAATTATTATTATTATTATTATTATTATTATTATTATTATTATTATTAATTCCGCACGGGTCTCAGTGAGAATTGTTCCCGGCATGATTGTGTGAAAAGCGGGAGTGCAACCTCACAGTCACGCCTCTGCTCTCGATTACAGCGAAAATAACTTTCCCGGCTTGAAAACGCAGTGAAAGTAACTTTGATGCTTCACAAACACAGACGTCCTGTGTACATGTTTCACAATGTAACATGGAGTAGACTGTCGTTAGAATGCATGGGACAAGCGTTGCTATCAGGAGTCAGAACATGGGATTATAATGACTTAGTTTAAAGCCAGTCACCCACTACAAAAGGCACACACGCTACTGCACCCCTAAAGTCACGTGGTGGGTGCATAGCAAGTTCGAAAAGGTTTCATACACTAAGTGTTTGAAGTGCGCCCTAGGAACAGAATATCATTATCGCGTTCAACTCTCAAAGGCGAAGCTTAAGGGCCTCATATTTGGCCCCGCCGCGGTGGTCTAGTGGTTAAGGTACTCGGCTTCTAACCCGCAGGTTGCGGGATGGAATCTCGGCTGCAGCGGCTGCGTTCGTTTCCGATGGAGGCGGAACTGTTGTAGGCCTGTGTGCTCAGTTTTGGGTGCTCGTTAAAGAACCCCAGGTGGTCGAAATATCAGGAGCCCTCCACTGCGGCGTCTCTCACAATCATATGGTGGTTTTAGGACGTTAAACCCCTCATATCAATCAAGGGCCCTAATTTTTTTAAAAACGTTTTTTCGAGGAGCGTACATACCACAAAAGATTTTTTAAAAAAGTCCGCAAGAAAGTTCCCACATGATAGATCGTCATCTGTTTCGTCATGCTCTTTCTTGCCGGAAATATCAGTGCTCTCCGTTTTCCTATCAAAAATGCTCTATGTCTTACCGAGAACGCGTTACTCGGGTTTTGTTTGGTAGACCACCTTTCGGTACTTAAACGGGATATAACGAAACATGGGTTGGTTTTGTAGTTGGAGGGCTTTTCGGTATTTATTCTCATAGCTTTTTCAATGACGCTTAAAAAGCCAGTAAGCAACTCCGAGGTCCCAAAATTTTAATGATGAAAAATATACGCGCTTTCGGTAGGTGAACATGATTCCGCAAAAAGTTTGCGAATGCGTGCTATAAACAGCAAGGTACAGGGGTTAGAACATCCATTTCAGCCGGTTTCAAATTTTTGGCTCGGCCGCTCGCCATCCTTTTCCTCGAAAGAGTAGCCCGTCGTACTCCATCCACTTCAGCAACGCGACACGACGTCCGTGATACGACGTCGGCGCGCAACCAACGACCGAGCGGAGCTTAATTCCCCCGCATGAGCGCGTGTCATGGCGGCGCGGGCAGAGAACACGGAGCGAGGAAGTACTTTTTCCCCTTTTCCGCTCTCAGTGAGACGCCTCTTTGCCTCTGAGGCTTTAGTTCTAAAATTAGGCAATACCGCTTCTCCGGGAGTCTCGGGCTAACGCCAGAGGGCAGGAAAATGAAGCTGGGAAATGATTTTAAAGCCGGGACTACGATCGAAAGATTTCACCTCTTCTAGAAGGGGACGCATACACGCAGCTAGAGAAGAAACCAACGAAGCAAACCCAGACACAGCGACACAAGCTACTAGCGGAAATTTTCAAGCATTACCCAGACCCAAGAACACTTTACCAGCGACTATAGTTTGCCGTAACGGATCCACACCGGGTTTCTATGGACTACCAAAAAATCACATGCCTGACATCTCTCTCTGCCCCATTTTAGACTTCACTTCCTCTCCATGCCGAGCGCTTTCGAATTTTCTACACCAAATCTTCGCCACCTTACCCGGAAGACACGAACTCATGTTCGTGACTCCTTCGTGCAGCTAGTGTCAGAGGTGAGCAACGACGATGACGAGAGCCTGGTCTCGTTCGACCTCGTTTCATTGTTCACTAATGTGCCAGCGCCCTTAGCTGCGTCATCTGCCCGTGCTGCGCTTGAGGGTGACGCAAGCCTGACTGAAAGGACTCCATTGGCTGTTGACGAGCTCTGTCGTCTACTGGAATTTCGCCTGTCTAGTACGTACTTCTCCGACAAAGGAACAATTTTCAGGCAGAACAGTGGAACAGCGATGGAGCTTCCATCTCCGTCACGATGGAAAACCTGACCATGGGGCCCGGGGCGTAGCCAGAAATTTTTTTTTTTCGGGGGGGGGGGGGGGGGTCACACAAACCCAACGGGGGGGGGGGGGGGGCAGGCATCAGCTTTCTTCTGTGACGTCACTATCGGCGGTAGTTTACACAGATGGCGTACATGTATATCAAGTCCTGAGAATTCCCCTCTCCCCATGCGTATGGTTGTGAAGAGAGTAAGTAAAAGTGCTGTAAGAATGATTGATTGATACGTTGGGTTTAACGTCCCGAAACCACCGTATGATTATGAGATTCGCCGTAGTTGAGGGCTCCGGAAAGGTAGACCACCTGAGGTTCTTTAACGTGCACCCAAATCTGAGCACACGGGCCTGCAACATTTTCACCTCCATCGAAAATACAGCCGCTGCATCCGGGATTCGATCTCGAGACCTGCGAGTCAGCAGCCGAGTACCTTCGCCACTAGACCACCGCGGCGGGGCAGTACTGTAAGAAGTACTCTAAACACAGTAAACGACAGGTACAGTGACCGTTCGGAGCAACGGCCTCTCGTCGCACCATTGGAAGGACTAGGCTTCGAAAACGCATTATTATGCAGCTAAAGTGGTTGCTTGGGCGTGTTGGTACGACATAGGAAAAAAAAAACGGCGCGAAAAACGAGAGACCAAATGAAGAAGTACTCATACAGAGCGCTGACTCACAACAAAAACTTTATTCTTCAAACCCTGCATATATATACAAAAGAAGGAACAAAAATGATAGTCGAAGTAAACCATACAATCATTCTCATAGCTCGTGCAATCACCCAGATAAAAAGACAACTTACTTTTCTGAGAGGGCAACCGAAGGCCTACTCACGCATACGCCCCCAAATCTAGCTATATCTCCAGTATTTTACGGGTAAGCTGGTCCCGATAACGCTTGATAATCGCACACGACTGAATATCAGGGGTACACACGGAGGAAGGAAAGGGGTACACCAACAATCTCGGCAATGAATGCCTTGGTGGCCAGACACCGTCGTGGAAACACTTTGAGCGTGTTCTTTGAGACGCTTTGAGGGAAAGAAGTTTGTACCTAAGGGCTTGTTTTTCCGTGTTTTGACGCAATATTAATGAGATTTGACAGACAGTATTGCCAAGGAATGTATAGGGGAAGTTATTAGAACCAATGTAATTAATGTAAATAAGAAGAAAGAAAAGTGGGTGAAAAAAATGACTTGCTGTCAGCAGGTTTTCTTTCTTTTTATTTACATTACATTGGTTCCAATAACATCCCCTATACATTCCTTGGCATTATTGTCTGTTAGATCTCATCATATATATATATATATATATATATATATATATATATATATATATATATATATATATATATATATATATAGTGTGTGTGTGTGTGTGTGCGTGTGTGTGTGTGTGTGTGTGTGTGAAAGTATATGCACTTTCACATAAAAACTGTTTATTGTGACGACGTTTCGACGGGAACCCCGTCTTTTTCAAGGCATAATTGTATTTACACATGTTCCGTGTCTTATAGCCTGTCGAGACAGGAGGGAAGGAGTCAAAAGAAAAGTAAAAAAAAAGGAAAAAAAAGAAAGAAGAGAGAGAAAGAGAGAGAAAGAAGAAGAAGAGACAGCGAAACGGGAGGACAAACATTAAATAAAATATAGAAAATCTAGGAGAAGAAGCAACACCGACACAGCGTAATTAGAAAGGGGCAGCATCTCAACAGAGTAGGGCAGAGGTAGATGAGCAATGTCATCATTGTCAACAATACCTCCCCTGCACCCACTCTTCCCCGAACGGGCAGTGAGCCGCCGTCCTTGTATTTCACCTTTCCGTGTAGTCCGCTGGGGGCTCGTGCCTCTTTGAAGTTTAAGACAAGTTAATGGGGAGAGCTTAAGCGCTTGGAGTGCGTGCTGGTGGCGTCGGGAGGAATGAAAAAGCCGGTGAATGAGGCACCGCCATCGATATTCATTATATGCAATGGCTCCTTGTCAGTGAAGGAACAGAATGTGCGTTAAAAATTAGAGAAGGAAAAAAAAAGAAGCACGGTGAGGGGGGGGGGGGGGAGAGACTGTACGACATCCGGGACAGTCACCACACAGTTGCGGCTCACTGGGAAGACATGCGCGCATGTATGAAAAAGTTAACGAAACCACCTAGCTGTCAGCTCCTTGTCAGTGAAGGAACAGAATGTGCGTTAAAACTTAAAGAAGAAGAAAAAAAAAAGAAAGAAAAGAGAAAGAGAGGGGGGGGGGAACCGTACGACATCCGGGACCACTTATCTGTGCGTTCCGGCAGTGCTTGATGAGGCAAATCATTTCTATGTTGTCAGATGCATAGGCCAAAAGCTTTGTTAGCGGGTAATATTATTGTCGTAATGAAACCGGACTGATTAGAGAGAAGCGTTTGCGTCTTTTAGCGGTCGTAACGCTGACAGAGTGCCTGGGTGTTCATTTATTCCGTATTTTATCGTGTTAAATTTGTAGATAAAATAAGATTCCCGTTGTTCCCGTTCTCTGATTGTTCGAAAGTTGCTTCCTAGTAGTGTAACCCTGATGTCATCAAAGCTGTGGTCTTTTAATGTGCAGTGTTTTGAAAGTGGAAGGCCTGGCAGAGATCGTACATGTGCCCGATGGTTGTTGAATCTAATTCGAAACGGACTGTCTGTCTGGCCGACGTATTGCTTGTTACATACCCCACATTCCAGGAGGTATATGACGTTGTCTGAGTCACAGTCTAGTGCACCTCTTATGCTGTGCTTAAAATCCGAGCGGGTGCTTTTCGCCACTGTCGTTGTCTGCATGTGTTTGCATACCTTGCATCTGCTTTTTCCGCAAGGGTGACACCCAATTTGAGGTTTCACACCTATATTTGAATTTATTAAATGATCCTTTATATTTTTCGGCCGTCTGTATACAACACAAGGAGGAGAAGTGAAAAATTTGGATAGTCGCACGCTCTGTTCCAATATGTTAAAGTGTTTTCTTAGGACCTTGTTTATGTTCGGTGGGTTGCTCGTGAAAGTTAATAGCAAGTTTTTGTTGCGGTGTTGGTCGGCGTTTTTCAGGTGGTTGAGAAGAATCTGGCGGTCCAGATTTTCAGCTTTTTTGATAGCGTCATCGATGATAGCTGGCGGGTATTCTTGATTAAGGAGTACTTCGCGCATATGTGTGCTGTTTTTGTGGAAGTCCTCGGTGCGGGAGCAGATTCGTCGGAATCTGTGTGCTTGGGAATAGAGAATGCTGGTCTTGCAATGTCGCGGGTGGCAGCTTTTGAAGTGCAGGTATTGTTGCCTGTCCGTAGGTTTTTTGTATACGTTAGTTACCAACGCACCATCGTCAACTCGAATCAGTACATCAAGAAAGTTTATTTCAGTGTTAGAGTAGAAGTGTGTAAAATAAATGCTGGGGTGTACCTGGTTGAATGCCTGTATGAATTTGAGGAGCTCGTTTTCCGAATGTGTCCAAATTATGAATATATCATCTAGGTACCGTTTATAGAGTAATGGTTTGATATTACAAGATGAAAGAAAATTGGACTCTATGTGGTGCATGAATATGTTAGCGTAGTTTGGGGCCATTCTTGTACCCATTGCTGTGCCGCTGATTTGAAGATAGTACTGGTTGTTAAATTCAAAGCTGTTCAAATCGAGTACAAGTCTTGTGAAGATTTCAATTACTTTTTTGCTTGGATAAGCGACAGGGTTGTGTGTGCCATACGATTCAACAAGCGCCCTTACACCATCGTCATGTGGGATATTTGTGTAGAGTGAGCTAACATCCAATGTTACGAGAAATGCACCGTCTGGAATTTTCACGTCTGCTATTTCCCGAAGGAAGTGGTTTGTGTCACGCAAGAAGGACTCATGTGTGGGTGGTATGTCTTTGATTAAAGAATCAATATAACTGGAAATGGGTTCCGTTAACGTTCCCGTGCCTGATATAATGGGTCTGCCAGGGTTATTCTCTTTATGAATCTTCGGCAGCATGTAAAAACGACCAGGCGCCGAATGTACCGTAATAAGTGCCTTTTTAAGCTTTGAATCAATGGCGCCTTCACGTGTGAGATCCTCTAGGGTTGTTACAATGATCTTTTTGTGCTCCGTGGTAGGGTCAAATTCGAGGTGTTTGTAGAATTGTTTGTTATTTAGTTGTCGCTTGCCTTCCTCCATGTAGTCCGATCTATTCAGAACAACAATCGCGCCTCCTTTGTCTGCTGGTTTGATGACGAGATCTTCGCAGTTGCTCAACGTGAGTAGTGCCTCTTTTTCTCTTTTTGATATGTTATTCATGCTTGGTTTGTGCACCTTGTACGCATGTATAACATCTTTTTGAACCGCGTCTATATAGAGATCCAGATGTCGATCTCTGTTGGCGTCTGGGGTCCATTGCCGTCCGATTGCCCCACGAAAAAGTGCGTTATCTTTTTCGGGTTTATCAGAGAAATATTCCTCCAATCGTAAATTTCGTGCGAAGTTGTCTAGGTCTTTTAGGAGCGTGAATTCATCATACCTTCCGTTGCCAGGGCAGAATGTAAGTCTACGTGATAGTATACTCAATTCTTCATTGCTAAGTTCTTTGTCGGAAAGGTTAATAACGTTTGGCTCTTTGGGGTGTGGTGGCAAATTTTTTTGAACGTGAGATGGTTTGGTATTTTTTCTGTAAGCAGCAGTGGGTATAGCTTGTGACACATTGTCCCGCGCAAATTTCTTCCTCTAAGTTTTTCAATTTCCTCTGTTTTTTTTTTTTTTGTGCTCAAATACGTCGAGTTCTTTAATAATACGGAAAGACGGGCTAGTTGGTACTGCTGCATAATTGAAGTTTTTGCGCACACACACAAGGACACAGAAGAAGGGAACACAAGGACCAGCGCAGTCACAAGCTGCGCTGGTCCTTGTGTTCCCTTCTTCTGTGTCCTTGTGTGTGTGCGAGTTCTTTAGCTTCCCACTCCGAAAGAGAAAAGTTATTTCTTAAATACCGCTCTTCGTCTGTCAGTGCGTTTAGAGTCTTTCTACAGTGTTCGATGGTGACCTTAGTTGGCTCCTGTGTGGCGTGATCGAGAATTTCGTTCCACCGTTTCATTTCCCCTTCGGCAAAGTTATGCATCGATGGTGTTAGCGACAAGCGCAGCCCCTTCGGAGCCGTACACGCCAGTACATATTGTTCGAGGCTTTGCACGTGAAGTTCGTGCCGTATTCTTTTGTCAACAACTTTTCTAAGTTTAAGAAAATTTGGACCCGTTCTATGGCCTAGTTCATCTGAAACGGACGGTGTTTGCCCACTCGCACAGCCAGTATGTCACTTTGCCCAGACGTGGCGAATAGAGCCACAAGGTGCCCGGAGGTCGTACCTGGTTTGGGTCGGAGCTCCATCCCGTTGTGCCTCCCGTGACGAGCTGGCCTGTAGACGCCTGCTGTTGGCTGCTGGTGGTTGCTGCTTGTTCGTTGATGATGTTGGCTGCTAATTTTTCCTTGCGGGTGGTTTATTCTGGCCACTCGTTGCTGTTGATTGTGGTACAGCTGGCCGTTGTTGTTGGCCCGGATTACCCTTCGTCGCCGTTTCCGGGGTGTGTGTTGTAGGCGTCGACGACAGCCGTGGCAAGCGTGATGGCGGTTGTGCACTCGGTGAGGGGGGTCCCGACGGGGTATGCTGGCCTGGAGAAGGGGCAGCGGCTGTTTCTGGGGCTGCTTGGTTCATATTCTTCTCTTTGCCGCCTCGACAGGTGGCATCGGAAGAGTCACGCCGCAGTGCTTGGGAGTAGGATGGCGTCTCCCGAAGCTCGTACGCCCCCGCCTCCGGTTGTGGCGCGTGTTCCGGCCAGTTGTTGATGTGTGTGTGTGTGTGTGTGTGTGTGTGTGTGTGTGTGTGTGTGTGTGTGTGTGTGTGCGTGTGTGTGTGTGTGTATAGCAGTTGAATATAACCTGCTCTTTGATGGTTCAA